TGTAAAATGACCAATATACCAGCTGCTCTGTCTACTCAGAGAAATTACTTAATTAACCTGACATAAAGCCAAGGTAATAAGGATCTTCCTCCATCCTGTATCATTCTCAGGACACATACTCAAGAATGCTGCCATGTGAGAGAACTGGGAATGGAAAAGCCACCCCCCACCACCAGCACCCACCCCACCTCTCCTCCCCGCAACACATAGCCCAACCAGAGCTCAGAAGGACCCTGATTCAGACCTGACTTTGCCTCCGCTGAGGGACACCAGGAAAGCTGCTGTCCTGAACTGTAACAATGGCAGGTCCCCAGTGCTAGCTAGATAGTAGGCTCTCAACAAGTATTTGTTATATGAATGGATGTATGAATGCTTACCTCACAGGACTGTTGAGAAATAAGTGAAAAAGTAGGTAAAATGACCAGCATAAGAGCCTGCACACATATAACACATTAGTCGCTTCCTCCTCCTCTATTTCTCACAGGGTCGTGATCTCTGACCCTGTGTGCTCATCAATTTTGCCACTACATGTTATGGCTTTTGCTTTTCCTCAAGATACTTATTATCTATCAATAAAATGACATAAATGCAAGAGAACATAGTCATTTCCAAAACAACTGATAAATTACTAGAACAGGCAGCCTAGTGCTTAGGTGGCTGGGGGAAGTCACCATGGTAAGATAACTGTCCAGGCCAACCTATCAAGTCAGGGAACCAAGTGAAGCACACCAAAATCTCTGAGCTCATTTGGTTTGGACAAGACAAGTACTATCTTGAAATATCTCAGTCCTTCATTCTTTTTTTGGGCAGGTCCAACATGAAGCCTAATTAACTACAAAGATTTTAAAACCTAGCTCTGGGGTCAATTTTACGCTTTAATAGAATGTAGCACCAAATCATTTCTGTTAAACATTATTTCAAAACATTACTGTATTCTGCTTATGGGACTCAATGACCACTTAGAATTTGGAACACACAAATATAATGATCTCAAAGCGGATCATGGACTCTACTTAAATAAATCATACCTAATATTCTGCCACTAATTTATTCTATCCTATGTTTTCTTCTTTCTAGAAATTCAACTACAGACCAAAATTCCAGTACACCAATCAAAAGTTTAGGATATTTACATTGCAGTAATCAAAATGAGTATAAGATGTTTTTTAGGAATATTCCAAATTAGAAAATATGAATTCCTCTGACCTAGGTTTTTGAAACTGACACATACAGACGAAATAGACAACAATTTTTAAGCACTCAACCCTTCAACTATACAAGCACTCTTAAGATACATTAGTCACAAGGGAAAAGAAAATAAACCTCAACTTGCATTCAGGTTGATTTTTTCAAATTAAGAGTCAAGTTCATCAGCCTCATTTCACCGATGTGGCACAAGCAAAACTGATTAGAACCTAGAATATAACGATCCCTCTCTTCCCCTCTTACTGCTAACATGCCCTGAAGTTAACTTTATCTTGTCACATCCTATACAATACTAGTGTATAACTATTTCACAACAGCTATTGTTCAACTTTTCGGGAAATACGTAATTATAGTGATGAAGTAAGTGCCAAGACAGTTTGAAAATACAACAGTATAGAAGCTTGACTCTTCATTATGGAAAATTAGACAGCAGCCATGAATTAGGTATGTAGTCACCAGTTCTAAATTTTAACATTCTAGAATTTTAGAAAGAAAGAGAAGTCAAGGTACCTAGTATGGTTTGCCATATTAGGATTATTCTCTTGGCCAGAGTCACAGAATAGAGAGGTGGAGGGGCTGTGAATAGAGGGCTGGTGATTAGAAGAATGACAGCCACGTTCTTTTGCATGAGAAGGGTTGCAAAAGCAGCTGCAAATGCTCAGCCATCAACAGCCTATGTGGCTTGTCAGTGGACACCAGGCCCCACCAGTTTCTGCTGAACACAGGAAAGAGGTTAAAAACATGACCTGCAAGATATTCGCACTGAGATACAGTCATCTGAAAAACTGGTCTGAGCTGAAAATTCTGGGACTTAAAACTGACTATGGGGGTGGTGGAGGGAGAAACTATGGTTGTGAGAAAATGTGGGTAACTGTGAAAGGAACACCTGAAAATGTTCATCAGTGCCTACAGCATGACACCTAATCAAAATTATTTTTTATATAATTCTTAATTTTTAAGATTTACTTTTACTATATTTTTTATATAATAACATATTGAAAACTGCAGGCAAAGGTTACTGCCATTAGACAAAGTCATTGTCCATAAAGAAATATTTTATTGCTATCAAGCGTAAGTCCAACACATTTTTATGTCACATGGTTCACACATTGATTCAAGTGGATAGTAAACCCCTCCAGAGAGAAGCAGCCTCCCAAGGTACAGAGTGAGCTTTCTTTGCTAAGTAAAGCTTAACACATATTTCAAGTGAACACAACCTCTGATTTGAGAACTGCTAAATTTCTTCTTCTGCTGAATTTAAACAACATATTGAGAACTGTAAGTTCTCAGCTGCACAGTTGACTTTTTACCTCTTTCAATTTCTATTAACAGAGAAGATTCAGTCCTTCACCACCAATGAGCCAGTAAATGGAATACCTAAGAGGACGGCCAGCACCTGGAAACCTGCTGCTGAATAATGAAATGTGCTAGAGGCACAGACAGAATCTCATGGTGGTTTCAGATCTTGGCTGAAAAAGCAGAAAGTGCTTCCTAGTCGCACACTTTGCACACATCCAAGCTTCTTAACAAAGAATAGGTTAATTAATTAGTTTCATATTCTCAAATTATAACCTAGATAATTTACCATGGCACACTACTGTTTGGTATCCAGAGTCTTACCTCTCAATAACATTTAATAGTATTCTAGGTTAGAAATTGGATTCTCTTTACATGATTAAAATCATGTGATTTCAGGCAGTTGGCAGGCCACAAGATGTACTTTAGAATGTGATTCACTTAATGAAGTTGAAAAGAGTTACACTGAATTTCTGACAGGGTTACACTTACTTCCTTCAAATTAGGAGAAGAGGTGAAGAAAGCTACACTCTGATGGGAAGGTTAAGACAAATAGTGGACTTCTGCTAAAAACACTCTCCTCTTCCTTTTATGCAAAGGTAACTGTTTCCTTATAAGCAGCAGTAATAAGGAATACATCTTTTGAACTTAAATACTAATACAGCTTTCATTCCTTCTATGAAAGGAAAATAGCAGGAGCGAAAATCATGTCAGTAAAGTGAAGAAGTTTCATTTGGTCTTGACCACGGAGAACATTTAACACATTATTATTTTCTTATTTTAAGGTTGCTTAAAACAAGACTTCACTTCTTGTTAGATGCTGCCATACATGATGGTTCAGATACTCCTGCTCTGTTTTAGAGCATGTAGAGAGCAGAGTTTTGCAACCTCAGCACTACTGACATGCTGGGCTAGGTAATTCTTTGCTGTAGGAGATCGTCTTATGCATTGCAGGATGTTTAGCATCCCAGGGCCTCCACTCACCAGATGCCCTTTGCACCCTCCCCCTTCAGTTGTAACAACCAAAAATGTCTTCAGACATTGCCAAATGTCCTTTGGGGGACAAAATCACCCTTGTTTGAGAACTACTAGCTTACAGTGTAAACAAGCTAAATAGTTACATAAAACTGAGACTTAAACTTCCTTATTACTTTCAATTACAATTCATATAGCCACAATTCCCAAATCCTCAGCCAAATAACTAAAAAGAATTCAATTTCTGTGAATAGCAACAATGAAAACCCAATCTCAATTTTATGTATAATTTGAAATGTTTTAACTTCCAGTATCTTAACCTCAGCAATCTAACAAACTTATAGATCTAATGTTTTCACTTTTCAAGTTTAATATTTTGATTTTTAACTTTCTAACTAATTAATGAAAATGAACCCTCATATCCGCACCCAGGATTGAATCTTTTGTCAAACGAGAAAGGCTGTTTCTGCTATTTCTAAAAGATCTACTTACTGCAAATCTCAGATCTACTCTTGGGACAGGGAGAGAAGGAAAGAAGCCCCTGCTGTGTCTCCAGCAGAGCTCAGGCCTCTGGCCCAACCCCATGTGAATAGCACACAGCACTGTGCTCTGCCACAATGTCACATATCTGATGGTGAGTCACTGCTGGGAGGGTTTCTAAGAGAATGTCCTTCTTCTTCTCTATTCTGGGTCTTTATTCAAAAGAACCATCAAAAATAATTTTTCAAAGAACTCCTTCTGCATATTAACTATTGGTTTTGTCCTGTGTGTTTTTGTTTTTAAAAACACGGCTTGTTATTTCAGAAATTGGCCTGAAACGAAAGCACACTAATTCATTTGATCAACTTCTCCAAAAGATATGAGACCCTATATCACAGACAGAACTGTTGTATAAATATAACTATAAAAACATTTATATGTTATAGAAAATGGATGCTGACTTTGTCAATGTTCTACTTTTTGGCCCTGCAGATACCTCTGACACACAGCCTTGTAGAGAATGAGAGTTTGGAAGCAAAGATTATTCATATAAACTTTCTATCTTCTTTTTTATGCCACCTGAGAGAATGAGACCCAAATTATCAGGTTTATTCCTCAAGTTTCCATAGTGACAATGCTTAATCCTCCTGGAATGGCCTGTCAAACTCTCTTGAGCTTACATTTACTTAGGTTTAAGATAGATGTTAAAGTTTTTCAGTGTTTTGAATTTTTGAATAATCACAGTACATTTATCATACTCTAAATTAGATACAGGAAGACAACTTAAAGACAATCCTATAAAATTGCCTATCATAGTTTAATCTTTCACATCTATAGAAAAAGATGCATTTACATACACATACACACACACACACACACACACACACACACACACTTCCCAAAAGAGCACAACTTAAAATCCTTGCTCCATCTCTTATACCTTTCAGGCAGAATAAACCACAGCAATTATTTCTGAGAAGAGCAGCCCCTAGAAATAACTAATTATTCACAGCTTATCAGACATGAAGATAGTAGATACATACCATCAAAACTACCTTGCTCAGAAGCAAGACGCAACAGCTGATTATATGTTTCAACTGAAGGCTGATAAACGAAGACTCCGGAATTGAAGCAGTCAGGCCACCCTGGGTCTGGTGCTGCTGACAATTCTTCTCTCTCAAAAAGATCATCAATATTTGCTAGGACCTGATCAAAAGGGAGAAAGAGCATTACAGAAATGTTTTTGCTACAGAATACCCTTCTTATGTTCTCCCTATGTCATCCAACACAAAAGATGGTGACAGCTGTAAGGCAGCCTGGGCCTCCTCTCCTTCATCCCCTGACATATTTCATGACAGTGGTTCTATCTGAACTTTGCTGTCAAGTCTTGACAGCATTCCTCAAATGCCTAATAGGTGTCTATTACCATATATATCTTTCTTTTCTACCCTCAAAGCCACACTCACCAGAGTATCTGCATCCATGAATACACATTTTGAATACTGTGTAAGTGACCAGCAGTGGAGCTTTGTCAGTGTGACACCCAACTCTGGCCTCTTCATTAAGGTTAGATGAGCAGAATCGCCACTGTCCAAGACATCTACCATGATGACTTCATCGAAGACTGTCTCTAAAACTTTTCTGTCAAAATAAAATCCAGAAAACCACACTTAGCATCTTTTCAGAACAAGTGACCCACTAATGCAAGACTGATGCTTTATTACCCTCTCCATCAATTACTAGAACAATGTATTGCTTTGTAGAATATGTACCCTTAAATCTGTTCTAATTTTACTCCAGGACAAATTGTGTTTATTTGCATGTCCAGTTAACTTCACTAAAGTAATAAGAACTGCTTATGGTGAGGATGAAATGCGTGTCTTAAAACATTATTATAGGCCGGACGTGGTGGCTCACACCTGTAATCCCTGCATTTTGGGAGGCCGAGGTGGGCGGATCACGTGGTCAGGAGATTGAGACCATCCTGGCTAACACAGTGAAACCTCATCTCTACTAAAAATACAAAAAATCAGCCTGGCATGATGGTGGGTGCCCGTAGCCCCAGCTACTTGGGAGGCTGAGGCAGGAGAATGGCATGAATCCGGGAGGCAGAGCTTGCAGTGAGCCGACATCGCGCCCCTACACTCCACCCTGGGGGACAGAGCGAGACTCCGTCTCAAAAAAAACAAATAAATAAAATAAAAAAATATTATCACAGAAGAAATTTTCTGGGTTTTTGTATTTTACTATATCACTGAATAGCAGATAGGTTGTGGAAATAGCTTCCAAAAATGTATAAAGGGCTCCGTTTATTAGGTTGCCCATTTTGTAGAATCCAATATAACTAGTGTTTATTACATGCTGAGCACTTTGCTTAAATATAATGAGATTCACTTTGGTTTGTGAGGTACAACACTTCCCTACGCCCCAAATTAACTAAGGCTTTATTTTAGAAAGTTCTTGACGGTGGATCGGGAGGGTAGACTTGAGTAAGACACTAAATTGAGCACAAGAAAAAACACAGGGTAAAAACGTATCATACTAAAAGTTTATAACATCAGAGATGCAGAACAAAAGTGGTACTGTATTCTGTCTCCAAAGCTGTACAAAAATATGCTTCAGTTCACACAGTAAACTTGATGTTTTTGAAGAGAAACGGTGAGGAGAATCACTCACCAAAGTAAACTGATGGTGGTTACAGGAAAGGTAAGACTAGATCTGGTTTCTTAGACATATTCTAATAGAATACAAATTAGGGCATACACATTAGGAGACAGGCTTTTTGGCATCTTTCTAAATTACCATTTAGGAACAAGGGTGTTAGTGTGAAAGATATACGTATGTATACAGAATGCCTACTTTTTAGAGACCCTTGGTCTGTGCTTATACTTTTTGGGAGAAAAAAAAAGTTACAAAAAGGGCATTTTCAATTTCTTAGAGGGCCAGGAGACCACAAAAATAAACACATCACAAAGTTACTAATGTGCCCAGATACTTTAAAAGTTAGTACTAGGGACTAGGTAGCTCATTCAGATACTTCGATTTGTTGTTGTTGTTGCTATTGTTGAAGACAAGAGTCTCACTCTGTTGCCCAGGCTGGAGTGCACTGGCACAATCTTGGCTCACTGCAACCTCCACCTCCTGGGTTCAAGCGATTCTCCTGCCTCAGTCCCTAACCCCAAGTAGCTGGGATTATAGGCACGCGCCACCACGCCTAGCTAATTTTTGTATTTTTAGTAGAAACGAGGTTTTGTATTTTTAGTAGAGACAGTGTTTCGCCATGTTGGTCAGGCTGGTCTGGAACTCCTGACCTCAGGTGATCCAACTGCCTCGGCCTCCCACAGTGCTGAGATTACAGGTGTGAGCCATCTTACCTGGCCCAAATACTTAAAAACTTAATTCCATCAGATCAAAGTGAACTAACCAATCACGAAGCAGTTTATACCCTTTAGTGTGTTTCCCGTAGTAAAACCTAGTTTGGAAAGCCCTTTGGTAAAGATTCTAGTATATTATATTGTAAATAAAGACCTTTAACTTACAAATGTCAACTGGCAATGGATAATATAACTACTTTTCTAAGTCACTTGAGAGTTTCCCTAGTTTGCAACATGAAACAATGTAGCCCCTGCTCCATCTTGGGAAAGGAACCTCCATGAATTGTCACTGCATAAAGGTGTATGTAAGTAGGGAATGCCGGACACACTCCTTCAGATCACCCAGAGGGGATGGAGTGAAGGAAGACGACTCCTCCTTCCACTCCTAGCTGGAATCAGAAAGTGTGGGCCAGCACACCACCTTCCAGAAGAGAATGTAGTTGGAATATCTCCCAAAAGCTAGGAGGTGTTTTCAAATCCAGCAATCCTTCACTCAGCATCTCTCATTTTTCTCTACCCCGGGCTCAACTCCTGAAAAGAGCATGGCCTCAATGTCCAATGATGTCAGAAACAGGGAGAAGGATGTCAGAGACCCTGTGGATGCTGGGGCGGCAGCGAGGTCCTCACCTCATGGAGTCTGAGACCTGAGGAGTAGCGAGCACGACCAGCCTCCTGGTGGTCCTGTGCTGTTTCAGAGATGAGCCCAGGACCAGGGCACCTTTGGCATAGGCATCGTTTGTGGTCAGTGTCACAAAGGCCTGATCTTAATACAAAGAAAAAAAAAAACACTCATTACAATATCTTATCTGGAGAGAACCTTTTCCCCAGGAACCCATTCAAACAGTAATTCAGCAAAACCAGTTCCTCTAACATCAACTTTCTCTAAGAATCAAGCTGCAGCCCCTTTGGGGAGAAAACCGTAAGTATCCACTTCAAGAATGGTTCAAGATCATAGCAGGCACAGATGGCAACCTTCAAGAGGTTGATTAAGCTACAGAAATTAAATCCAACTTAGAGTCCCGACATGCTAAATTCTCAGACAAAACAATAGCTTAATACCCAGAGTTTGAACTCCAGGCAATTAACATATGGTAATGAAGAGATCAAGTAGTATATCTTCTGTTTCTTCTATCAAGTACCGTAGACAGTGTTTTCAGACAAGCACAAAAACAACCGTCAAACTCAATTCAGACAGTCTGAAAGCAGAGTCCATATTCTTCATTCTGGTACTTATGTTTACGCCATGCCTCAGGCATGTATGTATGTATGTATGTAGGTATTTTTTGAGACAGGGTCTCACTCTGTCACCCAGGCTGGAGTGGAGTGGTGTGATCATAGCTCACCGTAGCCTCGAACTCCAGGCATCTTACACATAACTGTTTCCTCAACCTGGAGCAAAAGCTCCCCTGCCCCAATACCCCTGAAGAATAACGTTGAGTCTCTCCTCAAATATTAGCTCCTCAGAGAGGCCTTCCCTCCTTGATGCTTCTATCTAAATAGTGATCAATCACTGATAAATAGATTTGGAGATCACCCACGAAGCCCTAACCAGCCTGCCTGCTTTTCTTTGAAGAAGGTGGTGCAGGTCCATCCTGCACCCTGCCCCTCCCCACGCCCAACCCAACAGACATGCACCCCAATCTCCAATAATTACTTAGTTGCCAGAAGAGAAGGTAAACACATGGATTTTTCTTCCTACTGAACGGTCCCCACCCTCCCAAGACCCCTAGCACAGGCTTCAAGATTTCTCCAGTCATTCCCTGGGACAATTCTGGGCCATGTTCCATCTCCAAGAAACATTAACAAGTTGGTGGGCATCCAAATGCATAGGACACTTCAGATCAAGGTCTGGTAGGCGTCAGTTGCCTAACCAGGGAGTTGGGACATTTTGTCATGAAGTCCTTCTCTTTCGGACCCGTGTTTCCTCATTCTCCCTTGCCCATTTTCCAAGGTGGAGGCTGGAAGCAGTGGAAATTCCACTGAAACGTGAGAGGAAGCTGTGGGTTGCCTAGTGGGCCAGCGCATCCCTCGGCTGCTGACCTGACAGTCATCTTCACACATTTTATTAGGCCCTCTCCCATGGCAGGCCAACTACTAAGTTGTAGGAAGACCAGTTCCCCACCCTCGAAGGGCCACCAGCTTCCCAGTCACTCACACTCTAGGAAAGCTCTGAACAGTGACACCTGTCCCTTGACAGGCCCATCAACATCCGCCTGTACTTGCTCCCATTATCTTCAGCCCATTATAACATGGGTAACATCCCAGTCAATCTGCACCAAAAATACTTAAGCTGGGCAAAATGAACGATCATCTAACTCAAATGAAGTCCAGGTTCCAGGCGATAATGGAGAAAAATGTAATAAGGTGAGCAGGATTCAAGGATTTACGGAAGCAAGAATATGGATGATTTTCAAGATTAAATAAGGGATAGAACACAGGTTAGAACACCAGACTAGCCAACATTACAAATGACCAAGAAAGACCAATGACAGCTGGGTAGGAGTTTAATCTTCCTAAAGACGGCTGAACTCTGGGTTACACCTGAAATCTTTGTGGCAGTTCAATTGCTGTAATAACCCTGGCCATTACCCTCAATGACACGGAAGGACCAGCTAACTCGGAGCTTCCCAGTGCTGGGGCTGACTCGTGGAGTGGCCCGGACGCCTCGCAACAAGTGAAGCCAAAGCCGGCGCCCTCCCACCTGACGGGGCCCGCGCCCGGGGACGCTAGTCCCACTCCCGGCTTCCCGCAACCCGGCCCCAAAGGCCTAAAAATAGGCTCGGCGTGGCGGCCGGGGCCGGGGCGGGCGGCAGAGGAGCCGGGCGGAGGCCGCGGTATCCCCGCCTCGGGACCCCCGCTTTCTGGAGTTCCGGGCCGCTAGAGGCCGTGGCAGCTCCCCAAGATGCCGCTGCCCCCCGGACTCCCGCCTGGACCCCCCAGGCGAATCGGTTCCCCACCCCCACACGGCTCCGCCGCAGCTGCTCCGCCCGCCGGCCCTTCGCCGTGAGAGCAAGAGGAAGGGCGAGGAGACGGAAGCAGGAACCAGGGCCCCGGCCGAGGGCCCGGGCTCTGCCCGGCTACCCCATCCCTGCGCTCCGGGGGGCGGCGGGGCGGCCGCTGACGCAGGCAGAAGCACGCCTGGCTGCGGCCAGCCAGCAACTTTGCGGCGGTTTTGTCCTGCCGGGAACACCCCGGGGCTCAGGGCGGAGGCGGAGAAGTGAGGCGGCGGCTGGGCAGGGAGCCGGAGTCCCGGGGCTGGCGGCGGCGGGCTGCGCGGCGGTACCTGTCATGGTGCTGCCGGGGGCGCAGGCGGCCGGGGTAGCCGCAGGTTGGTGGCTCAGAGAAGCCGGCACCAGGAGGGAGCGCTGCCAGCGAGGAGGCACGGCGGGGAGCGGAGCGTCTGCCCCATGCGCTCTTATAGCGGCCGTCACGTGGCCGCGCACGCTCTCGCTGCCGTCCGCATCCTCCCTGCTGTGCGGCCGGCGGGGGCGGCGGCCCGCGGGGCTCCGGGGCCCGCGTCCGCCTCGGCTCTTCCTCCCTCACTCGGGGCTAGGCTGCGGCTGCGGCTGCGGCTGCGGCGCACCGGCGGCCCTGGTCTTACTTCCCCGGGGCGCCTGCTCTTGTCAACCTCGCGCGCCCCTCCCGCCCCGTCTCCGCTAAACCTAGGAGTTTAAGGGGGACTTTGGGGCTGAGTGCGGCATCAAACTCCCCAAGAAGCCAAGGGTTAGGGAAACTTAAAAAACAAGCAAACAAACCCCAGATCACTCTAGTTAAAATCATGCGTCCGAACTGCTTGAATGAAACATAAAATTTTCGCTTTTTTTTCAGAATTTCGATCAGTCTCTATAATCATTATAATCATTCCTTAGTGTATTTACAATGGTTTTGTAGCCTTAACCTAAAAAATATAGTGAATATTTGGTTAAGTGTTAAATTCTTGGAGCCATCTGCATCAATTAGGCATGGAAGTACTTCGTTTAATCCTTGTACCAACTCAGTGAGGTGTTATATATTCATTTAACAGACGAGGAGGAAACTAAGGCACAGAAAAGTTAAATTACTTTTCTTCTTCTTTTTTTTTTTTTTGGTGTTTTTAGTAGAGACAGAGTTTCACCATGTTGGCCAGCCTGGTCTGGAACTCCTGGCCTCAAGTGATCTGCCAGCCTTAGCCTCCCAAAGTGCTAACTTTTCTATAGTCATATAATATAAATGGAGAAAGTAGGATTTAAACCCTGGCAGTTTGGTTACAGAATCAACCTTCTCACCCAGAAAGTCTTGGTGCCTCTTGGACACAGGGGCTCCAAAAAGGTTAGTAAATTATGGTAACTGTAGTTAGGTAATGTTTTGGCTAACCTGTTTCACAAATCTTGAAATGGTCAATTTGTCATTTTGCTAGGAAGTTGAGAAACAGCTTTAATGTGATCACTTCTCTGCTCCCCATCCCCAGTCCAAACACAGCACAAGCCTCTGATAGTTCAGTTCTCTGCAAACTGAAAACTGAAATTGCTCAGTAAATGCTGAATGAGTACTGCAAAGCCATTTGGAAACCAATCAGGAAGTTGACATCAGTTCAAAAAGCAAAATAGATGCTTAAGAATAAGTGATTTATTTGCAAGGGTGGTACTGCTGTCCTCAAACCAGTTATATCACTGTTTCCTCGTGTGTGGGTGTGGAGCTCCTACATCGGAATCACTGGAGGTACTGGTTAAAGTGTAGACTTTTGGGCCTAAACCCAGACCTCCTGAATCAGAATCTTAAGGGTAGGTTTATTTTGGTGCAAAATAATTTTGAAATCCATGCATGGTTTTTTTTATAATATGTATATTCTATGGACTTTTTGAAGTCGCTTCATATACTCTTGATGTAATGAGATACTCTGTAGGTATAATCATTATATATTTTTAATATAAAAAGCTATTCAAAATATATTATTTGAAGAAAAACAGGTTACAAAACAAAAAGAATCTTAAGGGTAGAACCTTAAAATCAGTATTTTAAATATCACCTTTCAGGAGCCTCTCTTGAGTCCTTCCTAGTCTTGACCATGGCCTAGAGACCACTGATCCACGTGGGAGACTCTCCCAGTTACTTAGCATATGTGCTTCCTTTGCAGGAAACAGAAAAGTGGAAGGGGCCACAGATCGGTTTCCACTTATTCAAAAGATACAGGCTAAGAAGAGTTGGAACTCATTAAGGAATACAAAGGCTATACTTTTGTATCTAAGTGGGGAGAGGGAAAACAGGTACTTCTCAGTCTGACTGCTCTTTTCCAGACTGAGAGGTGAACTTGGAAGAGTGATATTTCCATCTTTCACCCAGAATCCTCCTGCCATCAGCTGACCCTTAGCCATCGACTTCTTGCAGCCCACTATCTCAGGCTGGACTTAGCCAGGGATGTGGTGGTGGGGCTGAAAGGGCAAAGCCAGGAGGTAGAACTGGGGACAACTGGAAAAACTGGAAAAATAGAAAAGCTTCCCTTAGAACAAGCTCCTCTCTGCTGCAACTCCCAGGACATTGAAGTAAAAGGAATGGTTACCACAGCTTCCCTTCCTGAGTTTCAAGTATATTTACACAAATAGAAAGTTTACAGCTTTTACCACTTTGAATCAAATAGGGACATTTTGAGGTTGCTACAGTCTGTTCTTGTGCATTGTCTTAATATAGATCATAATGACCCCACTGCCTACTTTTCCTGAGGCTGCCCTGCATTGAGCTTCAGTCTGGTGTGAGAGCAAGGCCTCTTAAACTTTAATGTACACACAGATTGCCCAAGGATCTTATTAAAATGTGGATTCTGATTTAGTAGTTTGAGGGTGGGTCTCCCAGGTGATCCCCGGGCTGTGGACCCACACTTTAAATAGTGAGGTGTTCAAACATTTAGGATTGTAAGGCCTTAGAGGTAGCATATAAACATGGTATAGTGAGGCAAATGTTTCAGACTTTAGCTTGTTCATTTTTTTCTTGTGAAACTTGAACTAGTAAAATTACTGAATCCTAAAAGAAAGATTTAAGTTAAAAAAGCTAAGTTATACTCTACATCAGTAGGCATGACTATTAACCATTTAAACCTATGCTGAATTCATATATTCAGAATGGTCCAAAATTCATTTTAAATTGGCTTTGGAATGCATTATGTAATTTTTTGGCAGGATACTTACCTTCCTAATTATGTTTTTTTTAAGATAGTGCTGAAATCAGTTTGCATTCTTTTGAGCACACATGCTAATTGATGGTGGGGGCAATGGGGGCAACTGACCTGGAAATATATTCCGGAGCAGAGGGCAACCTACTCGTCTGAGAATCAAACAGTTCCCACGGATAGTTCATGAAATACATATACCACATCTGGCCAGACACAGGAACTCACTAGTCGACTAACTTAAAATTTTGCCCTTAATTGATAACATACACAATCTGTACCTGGGATTGTTGTCGGTAATCCCAAAATCAAGCAGAAGTTTAGTTTCAACAAATAATATCCTGGGAGGCCCAAAGTAGTCCATTCTTCACTTGAAAGCGAGAGTCCCAAACTCCAAAAGTTGGCCTGATGGTTAGTTACACAGCTTTTTTCTTTTTTAATCCTTATTGTTATATAACTCACATTTTATAAAATTCAGCCACTTTTGCTGAATTAAATTTAAAATGTATACCTAAATGGTTTTTAGTGTATTCACAGAGTTGTACAACTATTACCACAATCTAAGTTTAGAACAATTTCATCACCCCAAAAGAAACCTGTACCCATTAGCTGTCACTCCTTATTCTCTTCTTCTTTCCCTCAGTCCTGGCCAACTACTAATCTACTTTTTGTCTAAACATTTGTCTATTGAGATTTACCTATATGTGGTCTTGTGTAACTGGTTTCTTTCATTTAGCATGTTTTCAAGGTTCTTCCATGTTGTGAAACGTATCAATATTTCATTTCTTGGCCAGGTGCAGTGGCTCACGTCTCTAAGTGCAGCACTTTGGGAGACTGAGGCAGGCAGATCACCTGAGGTCAGGAGTTCAAGACCAGCCTGGCTAACATGGCGAAACACCGTCTCTACTAAAAATACAAAAGTTAGCCGGGCATAGTGGCACACACTTGTAATGCCAGTTACTCAGGAGGCTGAAGCGGGAGAATCGCTTGAACCCGGGAGGGGTTGCAGTGAGGTGAGATTGTGCCACTGCACTCCAGCCTGGGCGACAGGGTGAGACTTTGTCTCAAAAAAAAAAAGAAAAAAATTCATTTCTTTTTTATTGCCAAATAATATTTCATTATGGGTATACCACATTTTGTTTATCCATTCATTATGGATGAACATGTTGGTGGACATTTGGGTAGTTTCCATTCTGGCTGGTATGAATAATGCTGCTGTGAACATTTGTGTTCAAATTTTTGCATTGACATATGTTTTTTTTTTTTCCTAAATATATACAAAGAGTAGAATTGCTACATCATATGGTAATTCTGTGTTTAACATTTCAGGAACTGCCAGACTGTTTTCCAGAACGTCTGTATCATTTTTCATTTCCACCAGCAATGTATGATGGTTCAAATTTCATTTATCAGCCAACATTTGTTATTGTCTGAAGTGATATCTTATTGTGATTCCTATTTGCATTTCTCTAGTGACTTTTGATATTGAGCATCTTTTCATGTGCTTACTAACCATATGTATAACTTCTTTGGAGAAATGTCTATTCAAACCCTTTACTCTCTTTTTAATTGGGTTTACTTTGTTATTGAGTTGTAAAATTTGTCTAGATGCAAATCTTTTATCAGCTATATGATTTGCAAATATATTCTCTCATTCTATGAGTTAACTTTTCATATTCTTGGTAGTATTGTTTGTAGCATAGAAGTTTTAAATTTTGATGTAGTCCAATTTATTTTTCTTCTGATTTTGGTGTCATACCTAGGAAAATATTGCCTAACCACAAGTCATGAAGATTTACTCCTGTGTTTTCTTCAGGAGTTTTGTAGTTTTAGCTTTTAAAATTATGTCCATAGTCCATTTTGAGATAATTTTTGTTAAGTTTTTTATGGTGCGAAGTAGGAGTCCAGGTTTTTTCTTTTGTGTGTGAACATTGAGTTGTTCTAGTACCATCTGTTGAAAAGACTATTCTTTTTCCACTGAATTGTCTTGGCACACTTATCAAAAGTAAATTGATCATAAATGTGACTAAATTCAATTTCTGGGATCAATTCTATTTCATTGATTTATATGTCAATCATAATGTTAGTTCCACACTGTCTTGATTTCTGTAGCTTTCTAGTAACTTTGAAATTTGGAAGTGTGAACCAATTTTATTCTTCTGAGGACCGGGCATGGTGGTTCACGCCTGTAATCCTAGCATTTTGGGAGGCCAAGGTGGATGGATCACCTGAGGTCAGGAGTTTGAGACCAGCCTGACAAAATGGCGAAACCCTGTCTCTACTAAAAATACAAAAATTAGCCGGGTGTGGTGGCTACTCTGGAGGCTAAGGCAGGAGAATCCCTTGAACCCAGGAGGCTGAGGTTGCAGTGAGCCAAGATCGTGCCATTGCACTCCAGCCTGGGTGACAGAGCAAGACCCCATTTTAAAAAACATTTTTTTAAATTAAATAAATA